CGCTCTTCCAGGCCTTAAGAAACCACGCAGAAGGTAAGTACGGTCGACCTTTTCCCTCACTATCGACCTCGATTTTCACCCCTGTTGTTCCTCCAATAAGATGTTCGATCAAGTGTCGATAGTTTAGATCAGGAGATAAGAGTTTAGTTTTCAAACCGTTTAAATTATTTCAGCGTAATGTCTGTTAATCCCCGATATATCAGGCTCCGATCCTTCATGGTAAACTGAATCCCTTTTATCTATTCGGCTTAAAACCCTATTTTCTTTTCTCAGTCTTTGCTTAAATCTGACTATAATTCACTTAAGAATCAGAGGGGAAACATCAATTTTTGGTGAGTTTTAGTTTTGAAATGAGGTATCTATATTTAAGTTTCAGGATTGGAGCCAATATCAAAAGCTGCCGAAGTTATTGGATTAAAATAATTTATCTGCTATTTTTTCTTCTGGAATTGGGTATTAAATTTTTGTGGTTTTATTTGTTGTGCTTGCTGTGATTTTATATAGTATGCTTAGTGTTGAAGATGACTAGCTCTGAAAGTAACAACAACGACACCAAACCTTTATCCCACTAAGTGGGGTCAGCTACATGAATCATTTTTCTCCATTGCGTCCTATTGAGTATCATATTTTCATTTAATTCTAATAAATTAAGATCATTTTTTATACAATATGGATGCCCAAGTCTTTCTAGGTCTACCTCTAACTTTCTTAACATATGTCGAATCTAAAACATGTACTCTCCTAATCGGATAATCAGACGTTTGACGTTTAATCTGACCAAACCATCTAAGATGACTCTCTAATTTTGTAGACCACCGGAGCTACACCAATCCTATCATAGATATATTCCTTTCGCAATTTGTATTTAAGTGTAAAGCCACTCATCCACCTAAGAATTCTCATCCCGAAAACACTTAACTTAGTTCTATGCTTCTCTTTTAAAGACCAACATTCAACGCCATTGAGCATTGCAGATCTTACCACCATCTTACCACCATCTTATAAAATTTAAAATTTTCCTTTCAGTCTAAGCGATACTTTTCTATCACACAATAGACCCAAAGCATTCCTCCACTACAACCAACCAACGTGAATTCTACTAATAGCATCCCCATCTATATCACCATCACTTTGAACAATAAACCTGAGATATCTAAAACATTCACACCTTTTAATAATTTGATCACCTATATTTACAACTTTTTTACTAGAGCTACTACTACTAAAATTACATTCCATTCATTTAGTTTTAGATCTACTCAAATGAGGGTCTTTAGAATCCAATGTAAACCTCTATGATTCAAGTTTTTTCTGAGCTTTCTTTATAGTCTTATCCACGAGAATGATAACATCAGCGAAAAGCATACACCAAGGTACATTCTTCTGTAAATATCCAGTTAGAGCATTCATAACTAAAACATATGGGCTTAAAGCCGATACCTGATGTAATCCAACTGAAATAGGAAATTATTGAAATAGGAAATTATTTGTTCAAACACAAGTAACAACTATAGTATACATATCTTTAATGACTTGAATAGTATACATATCTATACATATCTTTAATGACTTGAATATAAGTCATATCAACACCTTTCTTCTCTAGAACTCTCCAAAGGATATATCTTGGAACCTTATTATAAATTTTTCTAAATTAATAAAACTCATATGTTGATCCTCCTTATTCTCTCTGAATTTCTCTATCAAACCTCTCAATAAATGTATAGATTCTACAGTATATCTGCCCGACATAAACCTCAACTGACTTTGAGAAATCTTTGTAATACATCTTAACCTATGTTCAATTACCCTCTCCCATAATATTAAAGTATGACACATCAACTTAATTTCCCTATAATTTGCACACTCTTGTGCATCTCTTTATTTGTGCATCTCTTTATTCAATACTCTTCCTCCACTCCTTGGGCAATGGGATCAAAATACTCTTTCAAAATACTCTTCCTCCACTCCTTGGGCATCTTTTTAGTTTTTAAAATAATATTAAGATTTTAGTAAGCCAATAAACTCTCAAATTTCCTATTTATTTCTTCACTTCAATTGGGATATCATCAGGTTCTATAGACTTTCCACCCTTGGTATTCTTTAAAGCCTCATCAACTTCTTTTTTACTAATGCAACGTTAAAAATAAAATATTTTATTATTGTTAACGATATTAAGGTCATTAAGATCGATCATATTTTCAGAAATTTAATTAAAAAGTTTATCAAACTAACTCACTCACCTATGTTGAATATCTTTTTCTAAGAAAAATATTTTTTGATTTTCATCTTTAATACACTTTACTTAAGTTAAATATTTACTTTTCTTTTTTCTTTATTTGACTAGTTTATACATATAATTTTCAGTCTCTTTAGTATCCAATATATTATAAAGATCACAAAAAGTAAAATTTTTAGCGTCACAGATTGTTCTTTTAGACACCCTACAAGTCATTTTATATTTTTCTCAGTTCTCTAAGCTTTTATATTTAGACCTATTTTTATAACATAACTTCTTATATTTTATCATTTTTTGCATATTATTATTTCACCACAAATTATTTTTATTTATATGAAATTTTTCTTTTGATTCTCAAGTACATCTTTTGTCATTTGTTTAATAGTGCTTATTACTTTATCTCACATAAAATTTTTTCTTCACGAACATCCCAAATCTTGAAATCTTGAAGTTTACTTATAAAAATAATTTTATCTGTATCTTTTAGGTGCCCCCATTTACTTCTACGATAATGATTCATAGTATTATTTATTTTACAATTCTTCATCTTAAAATCTAAAATTAATAATCGATGTTGAGTATTTAAATTTTCAATCTTAAATCCCCACTTAGAATGACCTTACAATCTTTACATTCTTGATGATGATTTTTTTTTCATAAGAAAACAATCAATTTGTGTTTTATTAGATCCATTCTTACAAGTAATAATATGCCCATTTTTTTTTGAATAAAATATTAACAATAACAAAATCATATGCTAAATCAAAATCTAATATGATTCTACCTTCTTCATTAATCACTCCAAAACCATAGCCACCACGAATATTTCTAAAATCTTCTACCATTCTACCGAATTTTCCATTTAAATCTCATCCAATAAATTTTTTTTTTAAGTCCATAATTTATCTTTAGAACGTATATTTGAACCTACTTGAGGAGCATAAACACTTATAATATTAAAATCTTAGCATCAACAAAAATCTTAAGAGTTATAATTCTATCTCCAATTCCATTAACTTTTACAATATTATCTTTCAAACTCTTATCTATAATTACACGTATTACGTATACCATTTCTAGTGCTACTCTTACTTAAATACTAAAGTTTAAACCCTAAGTTATCAATCTCCTTAGCATTTTCTCTAAACCATTTAGTTTCTTGAATACATAAGATATTTATCTTTTGATGAATAATAATATCAACTAATTTCATTAAATTACCTGTGAGAGTACCTATATTCCAAGATTCTATTCTATTATTAGTTTCGTGAGCCAACTTCTTTACTGACATTCGTCTGTAATGTGATAACCCTTGCTTATTTGACACTACACTTGGGCACCGGTGTAGCAACATTTGCACACTTTTTCACTGTATTCAAGCTATACAACGTGTCGCTTCCAAAGGATGCCCTAACATTTACACAATGATCAAAAGGATTCATGTCATAATTTTCTGATAAATTCTACGTTGGCTTTTGAATATCTTACGCAACCCTCCACTTTTCATATTCAATACTTAAGACCCGACAATGACAGTGTAAGTTTGATTAAATTTGGAAAACAAAAATTGTATTGAATTTTACTAACATCAAAACTAATTCACCAAAAGGAGAAAAATCAAATCTTCAACTAAATAAAAATAAAAGGGAAATAATTTACACTGAAATCGTAGGTAGTACACAATTCTTATGTATTTACATATCTCACATTTAAACTTTCATATGTACATACATAGCGGTGATAGCATTTTTGTGCTTTAAATCTATGCTTGAAAAGATGTATTTCAATTTTAAAAAGTGATAAAAATGCTATTTTTATGTGGAATTAAAGATTTGAGTGTATAAGCAAACATATGCTTCCATAAGAAGATAAACACCTCTAAAACCCTAAGTTTCACACTCCATTAGGAAATCTTTTTCGAAAAAAAAACAGAAAACATCAAACAACAATTTTATTTGATGTTGAAGTAATCATACAGAAGCAGCTATGCCTGATAAACTTAACAGGGGAATCACACCCAAGCAGTCTACATGAGAAAGCTCATGGAAGCCATTAGAGAATTCAAAGGTCAGCTACTGGAGAACTCCATAACAGAAGAACATGAAGAGGAAGAAGCCATTGTTCGGGAGGAATAAGCCCGCCTTATAAACAGAGGACCTGCTTCTTGTTTCATTCAAGATGGTCATGAGGTCTCAGTGACATGAACATGGCTGCATAACGTCGAAGCCTGCGCTCATCGCCGCCATTTTCTGATGTCTGAACTGCAGCACTGATGCCCCCTCTCCTTGCTCTGTGTCGACGCCATGCAAGCTGTATGTTCACAGCCGCCCAAGTTCGCCAATTTGCAGAGTAAAACCTTGCTGCTCTCTTAAGCTTCTCATTCGCAAATTTATACCTGAAGTGCTCGGTTATGTATCTGAGATGAGGCGCGTTGAGACTAAAGGCTTCTGTAGGCTCAACGCAAGTAATGGTTGCCGAAGAAGCAGGCCGGCGTTCGATAAATGGACGACGAAGACACCATGAGAGGAGCTCATCACCGAATAAGCCACCGGGGCCTAGAGTGCAAGTGGCTACCATTCCTCTACTGAGTTGCTGGCTACTCTGCAAGGTCCCTTTAACTATGAATACCATGCGCTGTACTGGGTCTCCTTCTCTAATCACCTGGTTTAAGGCCAGTTTTAAAGTGGGATTAGATAAAAATTTAGGCTTTTTCTGTGTTATTATGAATATTTATACTAATTTATGGAAAAGCTAGAATTTCTTCGTAAGGATATGATGATTTTATTTTGTACAACACAACAAAAGCAATGAATCAGCACAATTATCGAACAAAGCCCTTATTTTACCTTTTCATTTTTGGAGAAAACCAGTGGTTGGACTCTGTCGCATATGTTGTCGAGGATAAGGTCATCCAGATTATGAAATATCGGAACCTGATGAACAAATTGAATATGATTAGCAAGTTGCAGATACATCTTTAAAGGCTTGACTGATAGAGTTTTCTGTTAGTTTAAAATCCTGTGAGGAATTATAGTGCTTTAGTTTGAGGGAGCTATTATTAATAATGCATGCTTAAACCCAAATGAAGGTTATTGATGTTAAAAATAGGATTTCAAGTAATTTTTGAGCTTGTTAAATTAACTTGAATTTTTCTCATTTTAGTTTGTATTACATATGAGAGGAATTACTTGAAATGTTCGAAGAGTTTTTGTTGTAACCCCCAAGCTTGATTCCCTATATAAGGCTGCATGTACTAACGTGAAACAAAGGGAAAATCTGAGAAGGAAACAAGATTGAAATCTTGTGATAATCTATCCTCTTTTCTTCTCCCTTCTCTTATGCTTGTGTGTGTGTGTATTTTTGTTTCGGTGCTAAGAAATGAGTGAACAAGACAGATTTCAGGCGCTAAAAGTTTTTTAGTGTTATGGGAAGTCACCTAGAAGCCCACCTCCTACTCCATCTATTTTTCCTTGTTTCGACAATTATCTTGTATCTCATTGATCGAGGAGAGTGTCAAAATAGTCCGTCCTCTTATTGTTGACATGAGGCCATTTTAGTCAAAATCTATAGAAGTGTCAAATTAGTCTCCAGGCCCTTGATATTGGGGTTGAAATAATCCCCCTTAGGGACTATTTTCAGCTCATATTAAAAGAGTTTGGGGATCAAAATGTCACTTTTATAGACGTTGGGACTAAATGCGCCCCCCCCCCCCCCCCCCCCCCCCCTCGATTAAGGGGACTACTTTGACACTTTTCTCCTGGTTGATTTCTCCACTTATTTTTGCCTCACAGTGGATTAAACTCTCAATTTTTTCATGGATTTAGCTTACACAAACTTATAAATTACGTTTTCATTTGTTTGTGATGATATATATTGTTCAATGTAATCCTAATAGCTCTTCCAAATCTGCAGCCTTTCTCCACTCAATATTTTGATGAGTAGATGATTTATTGTAGTTCCTAACTGATATGGCTATGGTATCTTAAAATTTTTTAAGTCATTTTATTCTGTAAATATTTAGGTTGATGCTGTTAGATCTTTCAGCTGCAAAAATTGGCATCCTCTTTTCTTAAAATTTTTATCTCTGCTTGAAGCTCATATTTTGTTTGGTTTTATGTATTTTGTAACAGGATGGGCTACCAGTGAGCTGGCGGATAACGTTTTAATGAAAAACATGTTGGACAATTTCCTCCAAACAATTCCACAAACTTCTCAAGAATATACAGAATAAATTATATCAGGATTTCTTGATACAAATGCACATTGGATGAGTTCTTTAATGGTTGATCAAGTGATGTCTTCAATAAATTGAATTCTATATTCTATTTTCTTAGGAGTAAAGTGCTAAAATAATCTCCTAACTATTTACATGAGGCCATTTTATTCTCAGAGTCTTTAAAAGTGTCAAATTAGTTCTTAAGGAGGACTATTTTAGCCCTCCTTAAAAGAATTGGGGGTCTAATTTAACACTTTTATATTCTCAGAAACTAAAACGACTCACGACGAAGAATCACGTGACCATTTTAACAGTTTTCTCATTTTTTTAGCATTTGTATTCTGTTTTTCCTTAAGTTCAAATAAGCCTTCTATTAGCATTTTATTTTGTATTCTTACCCAATGTCTTCCTATTTTCTTATTGCGCATTTAAGGGTGTGTTTAGCGCTGACAGGTCTTGTTTAATGAATCATTTGATGTGTATATGAATCAGAATTTTCTGATACAATTTTTTATAAATAAAAAACAGGTTTTTATAGAATATAATAAAAACTACAGCTAATAAAATAATTTATATAAAATTATGATCGAAACATTAGAGCATTATAAACCTGAAGCAAGAATGCAATGCACCTGTTTGATGAGATCAAGGCATATCCAACGCTTGATGTCTCTCCTCAGCCCTTCTGGCAAGTCTTGAATCATCTCCATCTCATCCTCCCCTCTTGTTGATGCCCATCTCTGCCATTCATACCGTCTAACTCTCTGTCTCAGCTGCGACGGAAGCTGTCTTCTCCTCATCCACCACTCCAAATCTCTGCACCTCAGCTGCATCTCTCTCTTCCTCGCCATGACCGAATGCAAAAATACCTACACATATACTTGCTTGAATTTATTGATTTGTTTGGGCATTTACATACATAGCACACAATTCTTATTTACCTATCTCACACCTAAACTTACATATTTACACACGTAGCACTCAAGCCTTTAACATCATCTAAAAATTGACACGTTTTTATACATAATTTAAAGCTAAAAAGTGCTGTGTATGTAAATGTGAAACTTTAGGTGTGAGAATTGTGTGCTAGGTATGCAAATTTCTTCTTTTTTTTGGTATTCTTGATAGAGATTTGATTCCCACATTAATACCTGAATGTTTCCAATCAACAGGGTGAAGAGCATCAAACCACTCAGGACTATACTTATGCTGAATATGACTTCCAGCCAGTGACTTGTTGGCTCCAGATTGTTGCCGAATGTACTGCATGATAACGGTTTTTGTTAGAAGTGTCAAATATGGGGGATTGGAGTTTGTCGATGTCATCAACCCAAAAACTTGAACAAAAAGGTACCTTTCACTAATATAATGTTTAAAACTTTTTTTTTTTGAGGGGGGGGGGGGGGGAATTTTACATACTCGCATACTCAGTGTTTACATATCTCACACCTAAACTTTCATATTTATATATTTAACGCTTAGATGCTTTAAACCTATTCATGAAAAGGTATATTTCACTTTTAAAAATTTGTAATAATGCTTTTTTTATGTGATATTAAAGATTTGAATGCTATGTGTGTCAATATGAAAGTTTAGGTGTGACATATTTAAATACATAAGAATTGTGTGCTATGTATCTAAATGCACCTAATTTTCTGCTCATATGAAAGTGCTTTGTCCCCAAAATGAAAACTTTCAGCATCTTTAAATATCACTCATTAGATGGATAAAGTGAGTTCCTAAGTGTTAAACTTAACATCATGAAAGTTTGAAGTTAGTTTCACTTGTAAGGGCATTAAAGCCACCTTCATCTCTGTTTTTTTTTTGCTTAAATTAATAATATAAAGTAAAAAAAATGTTGGGTTTGAGCATTATTTGATTTGTAATAATGACAAAATAATTGGACAACTACAAATGAAAGTTCAAACAGGAATTATGTCCAGGCAAAATAAATATCACTAAAACTCGCTTTAATGTGACAAACTTTTAGATTTAAGATCCAATCATTTTCAAATACTTGTGTCAAAACAAGGTACCCTTAAGAGTTACTTATACATTTAAATAACTAAATTGTTCATAGGAGTTGCCCGCTTTTGAACTTGATCATATGAATAGCTATCAAGAAAAAGGGGGGCTTTGCTAACATTTTTTTGCTTATTGGAAAGTTAAAACTCCATAGACCAGGGTTGGACATTCATTAGTGAAAAAATTTAAAACAATGAATAAGGTTCACCATTAGCATACTAAAATTTCAAAAACAATGAATAAGGTTCACTGTTAGTATATTAAAATTTCAACTCTTATTGACTTTCTATTTAGGCAATCTCTCCTCTAACATATATCTTAATGGTTTATTTCTTTGCATGGAGTTAGAAGTCATTCTTTGCAAAACAATGAAATTTATCATTTGTTCAGATTTTCATACATTAACATTGATTTCAAACTCTACAAACCGTCTCAAAACTCGCTCGTCGAAACTAATTACTTGATTTTCACAATTGGAACAAGTGAAAACAAAATCATCATTTTCTAAATGTTTTTTTTTTTCATTTACCAAGTAACTAAGAGGCCATTTGGAATCACTTTTAATTTTGATACTTTATTTTTTATTTATATTTTCTTATGTTTATTCTTTTATTTGAAATAGAACATTGTTATTTTGCAAGTAATTATGGGGCTATTTGGAGTCATTTTTAAGTTTTTTTTTTTTAATTTTTCTTTTATTTTGTTAAGGAAGTACTCCGAAAAGTTCACCTTCTAATTTCACCGTGGAATAGGACAACAAGATTCAAGAAAACCAGAATAAAAAATTTAAGAAAGCGCAATCAAAACAACTAGAAAAACATACTGGAAATTTAAAAAATATGAAAAACCACGGAGCCACACTACCACAAGTTTCTCTATGTAATTTAGAAAGTTTTACAAAGAACTCACACAAGTTTTCTCTCCACACTCACACGAAGAAACTTACAGAACTTGCACCAACAATTTTCCCTCTCCAATATGACACAAAAATCACACTGAATCACAAAAATCCACTTCTTTGACACTCCTCATCTTCACCGGAATGCTTATCAAATAATTCAAAAGAAAGAAACAACAAACCTTAAGAAATATGCTGAAACAAATTGCTTGAAAAACCAATCTTTTCATGTATTAATTGCACCGGGCGGTTAGGCGCCCAAACATGGCGCCTAAGCTCCAAGTTCTCGGTATCGGTGCCCAGAAATGGGGGCCAAGGCGCCAATAGGCGCCGACCTCTTGGGAATACGAGCAGCGTCTGCTCCTTAGCAGGCGCATATGTGCCCAAAGCCGACACCAAAGCGCCACTGTAACCGCATCCTTATGGGTCGGTTGAGCGCCTCTTAAAATTGCTTGGAATGCTTTGACTCTATACACACTATAAAAAATCTCTCACTTGGAGACAAACCACCGAGCACCAGTTCTCTATAGTTGTATCTCCATCTGAATCGCCTTCATAGACACATACTGTGGTCACGTACCGTGGTGTGGCTCACCCTCGGTCTCAACCTCATGAAACCCAACTGAAGTCAAGCACAACTTCAGTTCCTCAACAGTCACTAACTTCATCAACATATTCGCAGGATTTTTAGTTGTATGTATCTTTTTTAGAAATAACTTCCCATTTTCTAGAAGAGATCGAATGAAATCATACCTCAGTTGGATGTGTTTTGCTATGGAATTAAAACAACGTTTTTAGCAAGATGAATCACATTCATACTGTCATTGTAAAACTTTTCAATCCCCTGCTCCTTGCCCAATTCTGACATGAAGTTCTGTAGCCAATTCATCTCATCGTTAGCCTCAGTGATAGCAATATATTTGGCCTCCGTAGTTGAAAGTGCAACGATCTTCTGTAACTTGGAAACCCAACTCACCGTCATGTTCCCCAATGTGAAGATACACCCCATTTTACTTCTCCCATTGTCCACATCTCCTGTCAGATCTGAATCTATGAATCCCTGTAGACCGATTTCTGCATTTCCATAACAAAGTGCCCTGTTGATTGTTCGTCTCAAAATACCTGAAAATTCATTTTACAGCCTCCCAATAATGCCTGCCTGGATTGCTCATATACCTGGTGACTACTCCCACTGCATATGCAATATCTGTACTGGTACAAATCGTCACATACATCAAACTTCCAACTGTTGAGGCATACAAAGTTCTTTTCATCTGTGTTTGCTTTGCTTCAGAGTTTGACGATAGTTCCTTAGATAGTTTGAATTGACTACCTAAGGGAGTGCTACCTGGTTTCACCTCACTCATGTTGAACCTCTGTAGGATCTTCTTGGCATACTCAGTCTGAGATAACTTCAGTGTTCCTGCATTCCTATCCCTGCTGACTCTCATCCCGAGGATCTTCCTAGTTTTACTTAAATTCTTTATCCCGAACTCACTTGATAACTGATCCTTCAAGTCCCTAATTTTTTTATATATGCCCTTGCAATCAACATGTCATTCACATACAAAAGAAGTAAAATATAACAGCTAGAAGTGTTTGATGAAGCAAAAGTGTTCTGCTTGACACTTCATATGCCCATTGCTTTACATGAACCTGTCAAACCTCCTGTACTAGTATCTCGAGGTTTGTTTCAAGCCATAGAGGCTCTTCTTTAATCTGCAGACCAAACATTCTTTTCCTGGAATCTTGTAACCTTGTGATTGCACCATGTACAGTTCCTCCTCCAGATCTCTATGTAAGAAAAATAATTTTACATCCATATGCTCCAGATGTAGATCTTCCTCTGCGAACAAACTCAACACAACTCTGATAGTCATCATCTTCACCATTTGGGAGAAGATTTCTGTGTAATCCACTTATTCTTTCAGCTGGAAACCTTTCACAACAAGTTTTGCTTTGTAGCGTTTACTACCATTTGACTCATTTTTCAGCATGTAGACTCACTTAATGTGCAGTGTTCTTTTGACATTTGGTTGTTCCGTCAAATTTGACTCAAAAAATTGCATTTCTTCATCCATGGCGAGCTCCCACTCACTTTAATCTTCAACTTGAGTGGCATCCTCAAAGCGCTCTGGTTCACCACTATCAGTTGGCAACAAATAGTGTAGAAAAGGAGAATACCTTTGTATGAGCTGTTTTACTCTGCTGGATCTTCTAACTTTTGTAGCAGGCGACTGAGAAATTTTCAGTACTCGTGATTGAGCACTTGTTCTTTCTCCATCTTCCTGATCACCAGTATCATCTGTCTTGACATATCTGATTTCTTCATAAGTAGCTGACAAAATATCTTGAGTTTTGACCCTGTTCTTGTACATCTCCATTTCATTCAAATTGACATCTCATTTTCGATGAACTTCTGATTTTGATAATCCTAAAACTTTTACTCAAACTCATCCAAGTCATATCCAATGAAGGCGCACTCAATAGATTTTGAGTCAAGTTTGCTTTTAGACCCTGCATCAATACACACATATGCAGAACACCTAAGTACTCGTAAGTGAGATAAACATAAATTTTTGTCAGTCTAGGCTTCTTCCGGTAAGCCTTTCTCCAAAGGTATTGATGGACTATGGTTGATAAAATAAATTGGAGTATTTAATAATTCAACCCAAAATTGTTTTGGTAAGCTTGCATGCAGCCTCATGTTCCTAGCACGCTTCGTGATTGTTTTATTCATGTGCTCAGCTACACCATTCTGTTGCGGTATCCTTGTGACAGTGAACTCATGCCCACCCCCCTCTATAATACTGAAATTCTCGAACTTCTTATTACGGTTCTCACCCCCTTTATATGATTTGAGACACTTCAACTTCAATTCCCGTCTCATGTTCTATCATTATCTTCTATTTCTTAAAGACTTCAAATACACCATATTTATACCTTAAGAAATTAACCCATACATTTCACGTGTGATCATCAATGAATGTGACAAAATATGGAGAACCTTCAATGGACTGAATTGTAGTAGGATCTCATGCATTAGTATGCACTAACTCCAGTTTCTTTGATTTCACCACTAACCCTCTCTTGGAGAAAGAAACCTTCTTCCGTTTGCCACAAATACAATTTTCATAGAAATCCATATCAACTGATTTCAAACTCAGAAGCTTATTGTTTGAAATTAGATACTTGTTTCTTCGGTCATTGCTCTCAATTGAATCGAACCCCGCTCTGATATCAATTGTTTAAGGAAACTACTCATAAAGAGTCACATTTTAATTTCAACGTGGAATAGGATTACAAGATTCAAGAAAGCCAGAACAAAAAAAATTAAGAAAGCTTAATCAAAGCAACCATAAAAGCATGTAGGAATTTTACGTAAAAGTCACACCACCACAAATTTCACCATGTAATTCATAAAGTTTTACAAATGACTCATATAAATTTCTTCTCCACACTCACACGAAGAAACTTACAGGACTTACACCAACAATCTTCCCTCTCCAATCCAAAGCATAAATCACGTTGAATCACTAAAATCCACCTCACTCCTTAAATTCACCGGTATGCTTGCAAAGAATTCAGAAGAAAGAAACAAGAAGCTTTAAGAAACCTGCCTAATAAATTGGCTTGAAAAACTAAATCCGCGCCGGGTGATTTGGAGCCTAAGCACCAAGCTGTCATTATCGGCTCCTAGAAATGGTCGCCTAGGCGCCAATAGACTGACGCTTAGAAGCCGGTCTCTCGGGAATAAGAGCAGCGTCGGGTCTTTAACGGGCGCATATGCGCCCGAAGCCTGTGCCTAAACGCCGGCTCCACTATAGCCGCCGCGCCCTTACAGGGTACTTGAGCGCCCATGGCTGGCACCTAAACGCTAACCTTAAAATTGCTTGTAATGCTTTGGCTAAACACACGCTCTAACATGTTCTACTTGAAATAAAACATGTTTGGCATGTTATAACATATTTAATTATTTTTAAAAAAACTGAAAATAATTTTTAAATATCCAAATGTTTTTAAAAGCATACTAAATTTCTTTCTGAAAGATAAATAAATAAACAAAAACATCTAAAAAATACACTAAAACTCATATTTTTAAAATAAAAGTAAAAACGAAAATAAAAATAAAAAATAAAGATGATCCCAAATAAGCTCCAAATCAGCGCTAGAAAAACATAAAATACAGTGTTATTTACAACTTGATTCCTTGCCATTTCACATTTAAACACATACCTGAGAGTCATAAGGCCCCAGAATATAGGGTAAAGGATTTTAACAGCTAGAGAATTGCTGGAAACCACAGGAAGAGCTCTGTTGTAGATTCCATAATGAAATGGACCTTTAACATTCAAACATACAGGATCATTTTGAACTCCTCCAACTGTTTTACTCGTGTTGTAGGTGCGGCACGAAAGTCTGTTCCGAGCCGAGGCAAAGGGTGGATTGAAGCAGACTTCGTTCGAGCAGGCGAAGGATAAGAGATTGCAGGATCTGTTTTTCTCACATTGCTGCTTCAGACATGATGCAATTCTTTGAATTGTAAGTACATACCAACACCCTCCAGCTACCTGGATATATTTTTGATTGGTTATGGATATAAAAGCAATATTGGAACTACTGATGAAGTTCTTTTTATAAATTGTTACAATTGTGTAAATTATGTAAAAGCTCATCTTTAACTTTTTTGTGTGAAAATGTTTTCCTTTGTGTTAAACATTTAAATATTGGGGCATTTACATGCATAACACACAATTCTAATTTATTTGCATATCTCCGTCCTAAACTTTCATATTTACACTCGCAACACTCAAATCTTTAATATCATATAAAAAATAGCACCGCTGTCATTTTTTGAAAGTGAAATGCATATTTTCATGCATAGGTTTAGAATGCCAATGTGATATGTTTGTACATATGAAAGTGTAGGTATGAGATATGTAATTACATAAGAATTGTGTACTGAGTATGTAAATTTTACTTAAATCTTTAGCATCACAACAAAAATATCACCATTACCTCTTAAAAGTGAAATACACCTTTTCATGTATATATATATTCAAGAAAAGGAATGATAAGAGGCTATTATACGAGCCTCCAGCCACCCTTAATGTGTCTAATAATTCGAGTACCATCTTCTCAAGGCCAATTGTGCCAGAGGGGATTCGAACCTCCGACCTGAGGGGTCTTATACCGTGAATGTCAACTAACAGACTGGGGTATTTATATGTATTTGCATTCATATCACACAATTCTTATTTATTTACATATCTAACGACCAATCTTTCATAGTTGCATTTATAACATTTTGGTGTAATAAACTTAAGCACATGAAAACATGTATTTCATTTTTAAAAAATCTGCAATAGTTGCTTTTTTGATGTGATGTTAATGATTCGAGTGTTCGTTATGTCAATACATAACAATTGTGCGGTATTCATGTAAATGCCCAAATATATAAATGTACATGAATTATATTTATATTGAAATAAATGTAATTATTTTTTGTATCTTTTGCTTTATAAGAGGGAGTTAGGGGGGGGGATTGCTTACATGTGAAGCAATGAAATAAGCAATGAGATTGAGTCCAAAGCCCCACCAAATTGAACCAAAAATGAGACCAGTGACCTTCTGCATCCTCCTCATCATGTATATGATGTGATAAACTTTAGGCAGGAATTGGAACAAGAACATGAGGATTAGCATTGTCATTATCAGCTTCATCTCTTCCTCTTTTATCAGCTTTGGAACCACCATCCAAAATGCCACCTGAAATTTGTAAATCAAATTAGATAAACTTCTCAAACAACAATGAAAGATTTTTTTTTTAAAAAAAAAATTTCTAGGGCATGCTGAGTAGGGCTGTTAACGATTCAATTTCGAGTTGAGTTGGTCTCAGCTTGAATGGATTGAGTGCGGCCTGAAATCGGCTTGTAGCTCATTATATTCGATTTCGAGCTAACTTGGCTTGAAATTGAATTGAGCTTGATATGGCTTGAAATCGAAATGAACGGGCTCAAATTGAGCCATTTGATTTTGTTTCAGCTTGAAATCAGTTCATGCCTCGTTATATTTGATTTTATTTAAGATTATATATATAGTTTTTATAAATAAAAAATACTTTTAAGCTGATCTTGAGTCAGTTCGAGCCGATCGATGCATGACTTGAAATTGCCTTGAAAAATATTCGAATCAAAGTTTCACCTCATAACTCAACTTGTTTATTTCGATACAATGCAAAATTCACATTAATATTCGAACGATTCATGATCTTCAAGCTAAATTCATAGGTTTATAGACGAGCACTCCAATCCAACAACTTTGGATCCTGCATTTTATTTTCAACCAATGTGTTGTGTATTTAAACACGAACCCTTTAAATTTGACGAACATATTTTGTATTTTCTTTATAATTCTATTCTAATGTCATAATAATTTTGCTTAGATTACCTTCTTGTCCTTCTAATATTTAAAGAAAATGACATCATACAATTGTAGCTAAAAGTGGTAGAATTGCAAAAATTAAAAAATTGTGATAAAACAACCCTCCCAATTATAAATAAAAAGATTTACATAAATACCACCTAATTCATATGTATTTCAGAGCCTTATAAATAATATAAATTTCAATTAATTAATTATTTATTTTTAGCTTAACAATGATGTTTAATTTGAGATTAGTGCTGTGAATTAATCCAATGATTCTTAAGTCTACTATAATGGAATTTATTTCAAGATATTTTGACATAATTTTAATTAGCTAATTAATTAATTTTGTTAGTCTTAACAAACCAATCCAATAAATTGCAGGCCAAATTTCTTCCTAAATATATATTGCAAAAATATCCAATTCTTATTTATGTAAATATGTAACCTCTAAATTATAATTTTTATATTTATATTGCCAAAAATCTTTCATATTAACAAATAAAAATTATTATTATTTTAACTTTTGAAAAACAAAATATACAATTTTTTTATAAGAGGACATACATATATATATTAATATGTAGGGGCATTTACCTATATAGCACAACTATTACTTATTTACATATCTCACCCCTAAAATTTCATATTTGAGACATTTACATACATAGCACGCAATTCTTATGTATTTACATATCTCACACGTAAGCATTCATATTTACAGAAATAGCGCTCAAATCTTTAATATCATATCAAAAATCTCATTACTGACACTTTTTAAAAGTGAAAATCACCTTTTTAAACAAAAGTGTGATGCAGGTAAATATGAAAATTTAAGTGTGAGATATGTAAATACATTAGAATTGTGTGCCATGTATGTAAATTTCCCAATATTTACATATTTAACACCTATATTATTATCATTTTTTAAAAGTAAATCATGTTGGGTAATGTGGAGACCCAGTCAACCGCAATTTAATTAGCTTCATAATTATGAATCTCACATCTGCACTCCTAATTTCTATAAATAACCTCTTATGATTTGTCATAAACAAGTCAAGCAAGGTCAAACAAAGCCAAACAAAGTCACAAGACAAGCGAAGACCAAGCCAAGTCCTCTAAGAGAGAGAGAGATGAAAAGAGAGAGAGAGAGAGAGAGGAAATGAGAGAAGAAAATAAAAATTTTATTGTAAACGTCGAGGGGCTCAAATGTGTAATTCCTCAAAGTAGTAAAATCCTCTGCAGCTCCGTGAACGTAGTTAAATTTATCGAATCACGTAAATCTGTGTGTCACTCTAGTATTTTTTTCTTCGTGCAATTTTTTTCGTTTCATTTTTCGCTTTATTGTCGTCGTTTTTCACAACAAATCCTACTTTTTTTTCATGCATGGATTTAAAGCACAAATAAATATGAAGTTTAGATGGTTGATATGCAAATACATTAAAATTGAGGGGTATGAATGTAAATCTCACGTAAGAACAGTACCTGAGGAAGAGGGAGTATGACGAATAGATCAAACCAGAAACCCTTAACGGATCTCAAATAATGCTCCGCCACCATTCTCCCATCCCACACCAGCTTTCCGCAGCCAATCACAAGCGATTCTCGCGACACGTAAGCTATCCGAATCTGCAGCCACATGTGGCCCACATGAGCCACGTCAGCAGCAGTTCTCAGCACCGTCGCCGCCAGCACCAACCCCCCATCCATATAAACACACGGCGGCGGGGCGCCGGCGCGGGAGCGCCGCCTCCGCCGACAGAGAGCGAGTAGAAGAACAGCGGGTCGAGAGCCAGAGCCACGGCTCGAGCCAACAGCAGGCCGCGGTTCCACCGCTGGACCCGCGGGCTGCGCGGGTCCAGAACCCATTGGCCCTTACGGCCGGCGCGTCGCTCCGGGCGTGGGTCGTTGGTGTTGGGCTGGATTGGGATTAGGGAGGAGCCCGCGCTGGCGGCCCAATTGGGGGAATGGGCCCGATCGCAGGTGGTGGAGTGGAAGCTCGGTACGGCGGGTTGGGTGCAGGCGTAGCATTCCGACGCCGGTGAGATGTCGTCGGCGTTGATTGCAGTACGGCGGGGGAGCTTTTCGTTGAGCCTGCGGGAGGGTTCATGATGTAATTTTGGAAAAAAATAGTTTCTTTATATGTAATTAATGCTTTGCTATTGAAATTTATAATAGCACCCAAATCTTTTGCATTTACTTATCAAAATTTGATTTTTACATTCAAAGATTCATTTTTTTATGTATGGAAATGCGAAAATAGCGTAATCCACCTTTTAATACATAGGAAAGAATGTTTAGGTTGTAAAAATCAAATTTTTGGTGTGAGATAAGTAGCACACACACCCATAAATTTATCCTTTTGATTTTAATGTTGGAATGAGTTAAGAGAAGAAAAGAATACGTGGGAATGATTTGTACGTGCGGATGGGTGTATGTGGCTATTCTTCGATGGTTCTTGGGATGTACATCTTTAATCCGCACATACAGATGACGACACATAATATGACCTCGATTAAGAGAGAAAAGAGTGTTTTAGTGGATTACCATGAGAGCATAGTGTGAAGTTTGGCGAGAAAATGGCGCATCTTCTTCCATAAATGATGGAAACCATGAGAGAATTATGAGATAGTTTGAGAGAGAGAGTTCAGATGTGTGGAGAGGAGAGAGGAAGGATGTATATTTGCTCAAATCATAACTCAGCCCTCTCTCTCTCTCTCTCTCTCTCTCTCTCTCTCTCTCTCTCTCTCTCTCTCTCTCTCTCTCTCTCTCTCTCTCTCTCTTCTCTCTCTCTCTCTCTCTTTCTATCTCTGGCTCTCCCTCTCTAGGTATGTGAAAGAAGATGGTGGAGAAGAAGAGGAGAAATTGATGAGTGTTGGGGAGGGAGGAGGGGAGAAGAATAAGAGGGTGGGGGAGATAGGAGTGTGGTGGAGAAGAAAGGAGAGGACATGAAGAGAGGACATGAGGTGGGCCAGAGAACCCACATGTACTTTGTAATTTGATGTAGGAGCATTTACAAATATACCCTCCAATTCCTATAAATTTATGTATCTGACACCTAAAGTTGCAAAAAAAAGAAAGAAATAAACTTTATATTTTATATTTATACTACCTAAATCTTTCATATCATGTCAAAAATGACTCAATTTTAATTTTTTGAATTTGAGATACACATTTCCATGCATAGGTAAGGGGGCGTGTATGTAAAAATTGAAGTTTAAAGGTTATTTATGTAAATAGATGGGAATTGGGCGGTATGTATGTAAATCTTTCTTTGATGTATAATAATTGAATGGAAGTCATTGGAAACCTTTTGTTCTTCGAGAGATTTATCTTGAAGAAAACTAACAAAAAAATATGTGATATACACAAAAGAGATGTGTATGTATGTGTATGTATATATGTATATATATATATATATATATATTTCTTTAGCTTGTAGGGTGATGAAATTTATCTTTTTTTTTGTAATTTTTATCTTTTATTTAGGAGTTATATGAATAATTAGGATACATAGTGATAATTAATCCCACATATGAATTTTTCTTTTCATTTTATTTAATACTTATATTTTTAAATAAATATTTAAATTAATTTTTAAATATATTTATAAAAACAAACATTAAATCAATAAAATTATTAATAAATGAATATATCAACACATACAAGGATTTATCATGCAAATCAACTATCAATCTACTAAACCTCGAGTAATATTCTAGTTTCATTTTTTAAGACAAAAAAAAAAAAAAAAAAAAAAAGACCAAAGTGCCTTTTCGCCTTTATTAACATTACTTGGTCAATGATCGATTATAGGCTTAAATTGGCCAGATGAATCAAATTAAAAGTGTGCTGATGTAAATAATGTTCGTAAAATTCAATCGATCATAAGAATATGATAACATAATAAGACTAAGAAATTGAGTAACTTACATATATATTATACTCAATATTATCTTATTTATACACCTAAACATAAACCTTACATATATTATAGAACATACAAAGAAGCCATGATTTGATCTTGCGGGAGAACATCAATGAGACTGTTCAACTGTAAATAACAAAAAAGATATGTAAAAGTCACCACTAAATCTCACTAGGGATGAAAATCCGTGGGACAAACAACTCTTCTGTGAAGCCTGATACCAACGACAACAATTGAAAGATGACTCGTTTAATAGCGGAACTATAATAAAGAGAGCGAAGATGGTGTTATTTATGTTACTATGCAACGTAAATAGTAAGATTTAAATCTTAAATATGAAAATAGGATAGATCTTCATTAAAATGTTCATGAATGTTGTGGATAAATGGTTTACCCTACATGTTCTACCATGTTGAAATCTAAGCATAACACTTTGATTTACTCTTCACACTATAATTCGATATATCACATGATACCTTAATGATTTACATTGCTCATTATTGAATATGTCATATTGTGTGTTGGTGGGAGATCATTTGTTGACGTGCTAAGCATGATTAGGTTTCCTATCATTATTAATATTCCGTAGCACTATTTTAGCTATACACGTTGCTAAGGAAAATGATGTGAGAATTATCATGTCTTTTGTATAAGTAGTTATATGTGATATTATATTTTAGGAGAGAGAACACGAGTGAATATGGAGACTTGGTGTAGACGAGTTGAGCTTGAGTTAGCTACGACTCTATTTAGTTAGTTTTGCTCGTTTGTGTTAGCTCGTCTTTGAATTTCGTAAGAAGTTTGTTCATGTTCGGTTCGATACTGATTGTTCAGATGAAATTGGTTAGTAACTCGATTTGACAAGCTAAACAATAAAATTAAATTTAGAATTTGTAGGTTGTAAGTTTCAAACATATGCACCATTCTTTTGCAATAGAACACATCTAACCACGCAAACACATGAGTTATAGTGATTTAATATTATCTATAATTATATATAATATATTATTTTGTGAATGATATATAAAATCTCTTTATTTCATGCTCAAACGTTCTGAATATGATCGAAAGAAGGGTTGATCACGTTCGGCTTGTTTATAATTCAAGCTTAAAAATTTGTTCGTGCTGATTTCACATACTTAACGAACGATTAGAACATGAATTGCTTAATGAGCTGAACACGAGTTATTCACTAACAACAAGCGTTTCTAACACCTCTAAGTTGTGTGTCGTGACCGTATCTAAGGCCAGGTGCCGTGCAACATATGGTACAACCTCATGTGAGAATTTTACAATTGCTTTATGATAAGAAAATTGAATAAGAAATAAGAAAATGAATAAGAGTAATCTTTATTTTGATTAAAATATTTCATGCATTTGTTTTAATAATAATTTTCTAAATTTTCTAAATATTAAATAAATATTTTAAATAATTTTATCATCATTAAATTTAATAGAGTTATAAAATACTTCCCAAAATATTTTATAAATATCTCCTAAAATTTTAAAATTTGAATCTATATTTTCCAGCTAATTTTAAAATTTATACAAGTTGAAATTTGAAATACAAAATATTATATAATAATAATTTAATAAAATTATTTTTTAATTTAATAAATATTTTTCTATTTTTTAAAAATAATTTATTACAAAAATTGTAATTTGATTAAGTTTAATAGTGTTATGAAAATTATCCTAAAATATTTTATACATAACTCCCAAAATTAAAAAAAAAAAAATCTCCATTTTGAAGCTAAATTTAAAATATATTTGAGTTAAAATTTGAAATATAGAATATTGTAGTAGTTGTAGATGAAGCCTAAGATGAAAGAAAATGAGCAAAAATGACATTTATATTAAAATTTATTACTTTAAATTTTCCATCATAAACTTAATTGTTTAATAATAAATTTTTTAATTAATAAATATTTATATTTTAAAATATTATATAATAAAGATTGTAATCAACTTATTAAATTTAAAAGAGTTTTAAAATACTTCCCAAAATATTTTATACGTATCTCCTAAAATTTACACAAATTTATCTCCATTCAAACGAAGGACCCGTTTGGGGCAGCTTATAAGTGTGGGCGGCGTTTTTCAAAATACCGCTGTACCGTTTGTTTCGCGCGTTTCGCCGGCTTATTCAGTACTGCGTTTGAGTTTTTTACACTAAACGCAGGCTGCGGGTCGAACCCCCCGGCCCGCCTGCGGGCTGCGGGCTGCGTTTCAGGATAAGCAGCTTATAGTGGAGCAAGCATGCCCTAAACACACCCTAAATTTAATATTGATACGAGTTGAAATTTGAAATACATAGTATTGTATTATAGTGGAACAAGCATGAGATGAATCAAAATGACAATAACAATTGCATTAAGATTTAGTAATAAAAATGAATTTTTTAAGGAATAATTCTTTGATGTAATTTATTTTGAAGACATTAGTGCATCATGTATAAAGAAAATAATTATTTGTCATGTTTCCTATCACAATGTTGATATTCTCAATATTCAAGGTTGTAGTTATAATATTGCAAGTAGTATGGAGGATGAATGAAAAATGTAATGAGTTTTCTTCATCAAACATTATCCATTTACATATTACATTATTTGTTTAGGACAACATATTATATGTGCATAGTCAATAATAAAATATTTTCTTTATGATATATAGAATACATATATGGATGTTTCTTACATTAGAGGTAAATGACATCTTGACAAAAAGAAAGGATGTTCTTATTAGGGGTGTAAATGCGCCGAACACTGTCGCTCGTGTTCGACTAGTTTATATTTCGAGCTCAAAAAGTGTGTTCGTGTTTGACTCGTTTACTTAGCGAGCCGAACACGAGCCGTTCACGAACAAAGAGTCGTTAATCACGTAGTCATAAGATGTTAAGGATTGGGGCAAGATTTAAAACATCATATGAATCTAATTTAATAAATCTTATTCTCTTTTCTTAATTAATACTTTTAAATGATTATAAATCTTTGTAGCCTAGTAGTTAATTAAAATATTACTCATCAAATATATATATATATATATATATATATATATAATTGATTAGTAGTATTTCGAGCCAACAAGAGCAGAACACGAACGAATAAATATTGATTCGTGTTGTTCTTGTTCGACTTAGGTGCTACTGAAAGCAACTTAGCCAATGAGCCAAACACGAGCTTCTTAACGAGCGGAACACGAGCTGTTCGGGATCAACGAGCCGTTTTGACAGCCCTACTTATAGTAGAGCATCATTATAAAATTAGAATTTTCATAATATTTTAGATACACAACTATAAGAGATGAATAATGTATTTTTAAAATATATTATAAAGTTACTAATTTTTTAATTATGTATTGGATCATTGAGATGGATACCGTCCATTAAAAATTAATTATACTTAATAACATATAAATAAATTTTATTTGATTAGTTCATAAAACATAAAAGCTAATAATGATGCTTTTTGATGTAATGAATAATTTCTAGGTATAATTTAATATTCGTATTCACAATAATTAGATTATAAGAGAATTTACTTATATTTTATTTTATAAATTATTCTTAGCTATTTTTTTATTTTGTCTTATTTATTTATTTATTTATAAAATTGAAACTTAAATTTGGATTTATTTTAGTTGATTTTTTTATTTAGCCACTCTTCTCTTTTAATTCTAGTTTCACCATTGGATATGAGCTCTAACATCATGATGTCACAAGTTTGCACAAAAAAAAATATACATTAATAATTTGAATAGTTCTTATAAAACTCTATAGAAATGTATATATAATGAACACGTGTTATAAAACTCTTTGTATGATTCATTTAATTTTTTTAAAATTAGGGCCTCTTTGGGGCATCTTATTGGCTGCGGTGGCGGTATGAAAATGTTACATGGGTGTTTGAAAAAGACGTTCGACGCTGTGTAATCCTGCCGGTCAGAAGCGCTTCGACATTTTTGTTAATAGGTTGAGAAGC